GGGGCCCTGCCCGGGGGGCACGACGAGCTCTGCAAGGGCACCCGCAACTACAAGCGGGCCTTGCTCCTGCGGCACCACCTCTCCGCCGAGCATCGCCTCAACGAGCCCGTCAGCGCCGAGCAGGTAGGGGGGGCGGCGGGGTCCCCTTTCTCATCGGTGGTGGTTGTTGGTTTTAGTTTTTTTTTTTTAACGCCGACGTGTGTGATGGTGCCCGTGTCGGAGCGGGAGTCCGCCGCCTGCTTTGGGGTGGCACCCCCCGGGTTTGGGCAGGCACAGCCGCCGGGCAGCCCGGGAGCCTTTGCACGAACTATTGCCTGTGATCGTGCCCGGTTAACGTTACCCGTCCGGAGGGAGCGAGGGCCGTTCTCATTAGTTTATCTGTTTATCTCGCGAAGATAACCCGGCAACTTGGGGAGAAGTTGCGTACGAATCCTGCCAGTGTTGCAGCACTGATTTAAAAACCCTCGTTACAACTTCCTCCTGCGGTGTCGGGGAAGGCAGGGTAGTGTCCGGCTAGCGGCTGCCTGGCGAACTAGGCAGTGAAATCGGAATTGCTCTGCCCTTCCTAACGGTGTGGTCCCTCTGCATTGATCGGATAACTTGGTGTAGGCAAGACCACCTCTCTTAAATATTTTTTTTTCCCCGCTTGTGTTGCTTGAGATTGGGTTACCGAGCAAGGAGTCTGCAACTGTTCGGTGTATGTTTGAGATAAACATGTGGTTTCCTGAAAGCCCTGTCAATATGCCCACTCTCCTGCCGTGCTTTAGGGCTAGCGAAACTCTTCGTGTTCCCCGCTGAACTTAAAATTGTTGTGTTTCTTGGCTGCCCTTACGAATAAGTCAGGGCTAAGTCTAGAACACACGTGGATGAGAAGCTCCCAAAGAATACTCGTGTGGAGTCACCAGCCTTCTGCAGCCTTTCCTCCTAAGGATGATGTCTGCGCTCTGAAAGCTCGCTCGGGTCGCCTAGCTGACGTTAAGCTTGCCAGCGGGCACAAGCTAATGTGCCTCGGGTTAGGCTGGTGCTTGAGCTGTTAGGCAGAGCTGTTAGCCGCGATCAATCCCCGATCACTCCGGTTTTCACTACTTAGAGCTCAGGTTTAATTAAAGCGCCCAGCTCCGTTATGTAGATGGAGTCCGAATTATAGGGCGGTAGTTAAGTTGAGCTTATCGCTTGAGCACTTCAGGGAGCTCGGGGTACCTTGGACAAGAGCTGCTATTCTAATGTTTGGGTTAGGATATCGGGATGACAGATAAAATGTTAGGTGAACGTAGGTTTTCTTAGAGCTAGTCGTAAAAGGTGTGCAAGTTTTATGTGAAACTACTGCAGGACTGCAAGGAAAACGTTATGGTGCATAAATAGCAGTTATCCAAAATACTATTTTTGGTTTTACAAATGCAATGTTCACTTTCAAGGTGTGTAATACTACCTTTTCAGTGAGCGTGTTTCTAAGGCAGGTGTTGTTACAGACGTTTCTTGGCAGTAGGTCATCTTATCAGTTCCCTCCAGTCTGGGATTTGTTTGCTATTCACTCTGCAGTGTTTTAGCCAAACTTGCTTTAAATAACTTGTTTCTAATTTTGAAGCTTTCATTCTTAATTTCTTTTGCCTCTTTATATCTTTGAAAATGTTCTTTTTGTTTAATGTTACTGCAGTATATTCCTTACCAGCTTGTTGCCTAGCTTCTGACTTTGAGTTGTGAATGATTACCCTGTAAAGGTATGTTCTGTCACCGTGTAGCCCCGTGTCACTAGATGTTGCTAATTCACACCACGCTTGGAAGTTTCTCTCACTGCTATTAAGATATGCATAAATAAAACATACTCCAAGCAGGTTTTCCTGCTAAACTTCATAGTATTTTCTTTCTGTCATCCTATCCCCAGTCTGTCATAAGACTGTTAAATACTGGGGGGGAGGAAGGGTGGACTAGGTATTGGCTTGCATGTCACAGTAGCCTAAAAGTTAATGTCAGTGTTTATTTGAAGATTAACTTTTCGTTGCCATGAGAATCTTTATAAAAATGAACGTCTGCTTTTTACATGGCTGATAGTTTAAGAAAAAAATATTTGTAGTAACCATAATAAATGAAACAGTAGGATAGATGAGATGCATCAGTGATTTTCTTGTGCTGTATTAAAGGTAAGGTTGGGACAAAGTAAGCTTCTGTAAGGTAGCTGTACAGAGATTGCTGTTTCCAAGTGGAAGACAGTGCTGGATGCATCCCTGTGCAATTACATTTCAGTTGAGCTTCCCACAAGGGGACGGATTGCAGTTTTTCAAGAGTCAACTTAGTTTTCTCTGTGGTGTGCTTTCAGGTTACACTTGCTTTATCGAAAATCCAATTAAGAATCTCTGTTTTCTTTCTGCTTTTGTTTGATTTCTATATCCTTTCACACTTTTAATAGCACTTGAATTTCTCTTGATACCTGTGTTTAAATTAATACCAAAATAATAGCCCCATTTTTTCCATAATGCCATGATACCAGATACTTAGAACAAAAGTAGGTAATTTGTACCCTGACCATATTTCCAACATACATAATGAGGCGGCAAATCCATTTAGATTTAATGAAACTTGGGGGAGATCTTTCAGCCTTTGTCTTAGAGACAACACACATGTATTCTTGACTTGACAAGCTTCAACTGCAGGGCATGTTTAGCAGCTGCTAATAAACATATGGCGTAGTGCCACTGTTCAAGAGCGAGAAGGAAATTGTAGGTGTTAAGACAGTAAAGCAGTGGAAACTTCTGTAGGTCTGTTGGATATTACACTCGTGAAGAAACAAGTGATGGTTTCAGTTTATTTTTGGGATATGTTTAATTTGGAATGCCAAAATACATCACGAGTGGTTGCAGCTGCTGTAATTCAAGGGTATTGAGCTGTCAGTCAGTGCTTCTGAGGCAAAAATTTTGACTTTTTTTCTGTTCTAATTTTTAAAATACTCTGTCTCTGTATTAAAGCCTAAGGAAAGGTTCAATCAGCTTGAAACTACCTTCGTTTTGTTAATAAACGAACTATTGTGTCTCAAATATCTTGGGAAACAGACACTTACTGGGAAATCACGGCAGATTTTAGTTCTGTGATGAATTTAGATCCATAAGATGCATATTTATTGGCTGCTGGGGGTTCCTCCCCTCAAAGCAGCTTCTTAAAACATTTTCTCTCTGGACGTAATTTGAAGCTGAGCTTTCGAAATAGTGCCAGAAAAGCTTTTTCCAGCCTAACAGGCATGTTGGTTTAAAGCAGAAGCTCTCCAAAAGGAGAAAGGCCTTTGATGTGTTATTTTCTCCATGTGAACTGTAATTGTTTGCTTTATGTGAGCAGTGATGAATAGAAGTGCTTCAGATCTGAGAGTTACGTTGCAGTGTTCTAAGTTAACTTCTTGAATTACTCTTGGCAGAGCAAAAAAGTTGAGGAGGAAGTCAGGCCTTCGGACTAAGGTCTATCATGTACTGTATTTTTATGCACTGTTTTTACCAGACCTAGAACTACTTAGTTGGATGTTAGGCGCATAATGGAACCATTTTAAATTGCTGTGTTTTCTGTGAGCAATGCTGTGGCATGTAAAACAGCAGTAGAGCATCACGTGTGCAGCTGATAGGACCATATTTTGAGATAATTTTCCTCTGTAGCTGCACGTCCTTAAGAAGTTCCTGCAACCTGCTGTAGGCGAACCTGCTTTAGCAGGGAGTTGGACTAACTGGTCTCCAGAGGTCCCTTCCAACCCCTGCCAGTCTGTGGTTCCTGATAGCTCATTTCTGTTAGAAGGTCCATTTTTCAGGATAAGAATTAATTTGGGGACATAGGGAACTGCTGTAGAGTGAGGTGGGGGAGCGTTACAGAAATGTGGCATAACTGCTTTTCATAGATGTACAGTTGAGAGAATCCATGGTTAGATTGGTTTGGGGTTTTATTTTTTTCTTCTCCCCCTGCCCGCCCCCCCTCGCTGTTCTTGCTCCCAGGAGGCAGAGGGTGCTGATGGCACAGGAGGGGGAAGAAAACCAAGTTTTTAGTAGGAGTTTTTGATCATCTGTTTCTGCTTCAATTAGCTTTTAGGCAAGTTTAATTAGTGAGTTATACATATGAAATAATCATTTGTGTTTGGGTGCATTCAGATGAGTGTAATCAACTGAAACTGAGCACAATATTAGTTTCCTTGAGCAGTCTCTGTTCTGTTGGACTGCTGCTTAATCTCACCTACAGAGAAGCTTTTCAGACTTACAATGCTGAAGATTCCACAAATCCCACTGAAATAGTCCTGATTTTTACTGTAGAATTCTTAGCAGTTTTTATTAAAGGATAAGGTGGTTTGGTCTGTATTCTGAAAATATAACTGACATCTTAGCAAATGCTGTTAGTTTGTGGTTCTCATCAGAAAAACAGTACTCTTATGATGTGCGATGAGTACAACATAAATAACAAAAGTTTGAAAATATACTTTTATTGATTCTCTGTAATTATTTTCTGCACCTTACCACCTACTGAACTGTATTGTATTTTTTCTGTACAAAGGGGAGATGTTTAAAACTCTCCAAGGGATACTAATTTTTTTTCATCTCATAGTAAATGTTAATTCTGCTTGTCGCACTTGGTGTACATAGGCTTGATAACTTTCAGATGTTGGGGCTTTAATTTAATTTGATGTGTGGTGTTGGGGTTAGCTACTTTCACATGAGCAGTTAAACAGTTGTTTCCAATATTACAGTTAGTTTCAAAAATCTTTATGCACTCATTTCTGGGAAGCTGTAATATGCATCTCTACACACACACCTATAACTTGGACACAAGGTGTATAATGTCTCTTACTTTCATTCAGCCTTTGGGTCTTCTCATAAGGAAGACTTCACTGGTGTGTTTCTGTAGCACATTTCTGATCTGCAATTCCTTTTTACCCTGCTGGCTTGTCAGGTTTTAGGAAAACAAAAAAATATTGTAAATCTCAATTTCTTTTTTTATTGGCTTGGCTGGATACATCCCCGTGCTCAGTTGAAATGTCCTCTGTCTCCATTCTTTGATCAGACACTTGTAAAAATTAAAGAACCACTGCAGATATTTTTTAAATATTATGTGGCATTTAACATGTTCTCAGAGAATGAAATTGTCAGCTATCATGGCATCTGCCTACGCAGCATCACCTAGCGAGGTGCAGGTCACTGATGATTGACTTTGACTAGAGTGACAACACTTGAGGGTATGATAATTTTCACCTTAATCTGATCCAAAGTTGGTGTAGTTGATGTTTTGAAGCTATGCAGTGCTCCATTGCTGGAGTGACAGGAAGCTAGTCCAGATCTGAAATCCGCTGAGAACTTAGTGCTGTCACACGTTTGGGATGTACTTTCTGTTTTGGAGCTCTGATCTGAGGGAGTGCTTGGGTATGTCAGAGAGGATGCAGAAAATATTAAGCCGAGATCGGACAAAGATCTGTTGTTTTCACCTAAAAGCCCAGTTGCTTTTATTTCTACCTCTTCTTTTCACTGAAGTGTTTTTCTGAGAAGGGTAGAGGTTTAGCAGCAACTTGAATGTGACAGCAAACTGAAATTTTTCTGCAGCAGATGCTGAAATGATACAGTTTCTATTTTGGTTATGCTGGGCATTATTTGCTACTTATGGATGTAAATACTATTTTAGAAGAGAGTGTAGTTACAGCCTCAATTGTCGCCCCAGTGATCTGCACTGGGATTGTAACTGAGGTGAGTACTGATTTAATGCACTCATTCCTGTGTGGTGGAAAGTGACTTTTTTTTTTTTTATAGGTGCTTTCTCCCATAGTCCCAAATTAAGGGTAGCACTTTTCTGCAACATGTATTTTAGCCCCCGTATGGATTATGGGCTTTGACTGCCTCAACATTACAGGTCAAAGTCGGCATTAAGAAGGTAATATTAAGGCTGATTTTGACCTGTAATGTTGAGGCAGTTGAGCTTTAACGAATCATCTAGCCCCCAAATCTGTGAGTTGTTTTAGAAAATGAGAGGAGAAAATAATGAAATAATTTGCAAAATCTGATCTTCTCTCATCCTAAACCATATTGGAGCCAGGCAGTTTTGAGTTGCCCTTATTTGCTAGGGAAGAAGAGAGAGTCTTAGAGATCCAGCATAAAACAGACTCTGTCATCGTGGCTGCTGTTGATGGCAGCACATGTCAATCAATAGAAGTATCGTCTCAAATATGCCAGTCTGTTGTTTTCTGCTTTCTGCTAGCTGCTGCTTTGTAGCAGCTCTGAATCCTCATTGTCGAAGCATCAGTTACCGGTTCTTTAAATGCTCTGAAAGGCAATTCAGATCTTTATTACTTATCAGCCTCTCTCTACCTGAACTAATAACAACTAATTTCTTAGTCTTGGATTGTCTGGTACTACTTTTAGCAAAATTTTCAAGCCGCGTTTGAGATCACATCTTCATAAGGTTGTAGAGAGACAAATAAGTACATATTGTCTGTATAATAAGTATGTACCGGTCAAAGGTGTTGCTACTCGAAAGTGTCAGTGAAGCTTGATTCAAGAAAGTCTTAATTATTTAATGCAACAGAAGCTTAAGTTTTGTTTGGTCACTTGCAATATTCTGTCCCACTTGGCGTGTAATACAGCTGTTTAATCCTAAGCCTGCCATAATTAGAAAATAAAGAATAAATGCCTGGTCTGTAGAATTGCATAAGAAATATATTTACTATTAGAACTACTTCAGTAATACGTTTTCTTTAAAACAAACAAGAGTGTTGGATTGGGAGACACAGACCTAATCTTGATGTATTCGTCTCTCACCAGGAGAAAATGTTGAATCAGTTATCAGGATTCTACTTACCTGTTTAAGTGGGGATTTGTGGGGAAGAGCAGGGGGTTGGATATGTGAGAAGAGTCTAGTTAAATCTTTGGAAAGAGAGACTCCTGAATCTTTAATGTATGTGGGTTAAGAAAAACAAGTACTTCACACTCAACTAAATCTTTCCTTTTTGCTGAAACTTCACTTCCTTTGCCCTCAAGGCAATTCTGCTAGTTCTGTTTTTGTTTCAAATTTGGAGGCAGAGGGTGCAGAATGAGATCGTGATTCTTAGTTTTCAGAAATGTTTTTTTAATTATATATTCCTGCCTGCCTTCATGACCAACATAATAAAAAAAAAAATCGTTTGAATAGCATTATCTTCTTAACTTTATTTTCGTGTCCTTATTATAGTGTTGGGTGGACTAAGGAGAGCGTTCATTAAGAGCTAATTATGGTTGTGGTTTTTTTTAATTGCAGGAGTCAGAGTTACCGTCAGAACTGAATAATGAAGGATACTGTGACTTTAACAGCAGGCCAAATGAGAACTCTTACTGCTATCAGCTCCTGCAAGAGCTCAACGAGCAGAGGAAGAAAGGCATTCTTTGTGATGTTAATATCGTGGTGAGCGGGAGGGTCTTCAGAGCTCACAAGAACATCCTGGTTGCAGGCAGCCGCTTCTTTAAGACTCTCTATTGCTTTACAAACAAAGAAAGCCGTAACCAAACCACTGTTACCTATTTAGACGTTGTTGCTGTTCAAGGGTTTTCTGTCATCTTGGACTTCTTGTATTCTGGTAACCTCGTGCTCACGAGCCAAAATGCCATTGAAGTGATGTCGGTGGCCAGCTACCTTCAGATGACAGAGGTTGTCCAGTCCTGCCGCAACTTCATTAAAGATGCCTTAAACATAAGTATAAAATCAGAAGCTCCAGAGACCGTTGTTGTGGATTACAACAGAAGATCTGTTAGTAGGGATGGTTTGTCTCCAAGGGATCAGAAAGTTGCCAGCTTCTGGGCAACACGAAACCTTACCAACTTGGCAAGTAGCATAAAAACTGAGAACGATGGTTACTCTATTGATGAGGGCCAAATGGAGAGCTACCAAATGAATGACTGCAGCTGGGTCCAGGACAGCTCACCTGAAATGGCTGAAAATGAATCTCAAGGTGAGGGAAAAGTCTTCGTATGGAATGACATGGGTGCACAGGGACAATCAGTTCAAGAACCTGGAAAAGCAAGAAGGAAAAACCAAACTGCAAAGAGGTTTATTTATAATATACCACCGAATACCGAAGAGAACTCAGAAGACTGCTCAGTGTTGCAACCATCAGTCCCATATCCAGAAGAAGACTTGTCATTTATTAAAGAAGAAGCAGGTAAATATTGCTTCATGTCAGTCGTGCCATTTGAAAACTAAATTATTGAATAAAGTACATGGTAATATAACTTTTATAAAAGCATGTTGGATAGGATCTTGATAAAGTCAGGACACCAGTCAGGTTACGAAATCAGTAATCTGAGGGGTGCAGCAGAGTATCTTTAGATAGAGAAGGGAGTGACAGTGCTGTGCCATGTGGTATGTAACATGCTGTTTGTATTTGGCGTTTGAGTTTGGGATCCTCACTAGCTGGTAGAAGCTAAAATTCTTATGCTTACATTTAATCTGTAGTCACTCTTAAGCACAAAATGAAGGAGTGGTAACTGGTGGCTAATGATGTTGGCTGGTTGCACAGAGAGAAAGGGCCTTTATGACTTCCTTCCCTACATTAGCAAAAGATTTTTCTGGTAATCTGCCACATCTGAGTGTCACTGAGAAATGGAAATCAACTTTCTGTGCTGTTTATTGTAGGGGTGTCTGGGAGGCTACAAAATGGAGTAATCCTGGCTAGTATAATAGAAACTCCTAAAGCAGATTCGTGAAACAGATTGGAAAGAGATGCCACAATTACATGGCGTAGAGGGAATATCTTTTTGTTGAACCGTTCTCTAAACAAATCCTGAGTGACTGAATTCAAAGGATTTTTTTCCTTAAGGATCTATGGTGAATGTAATGCTAGAATAAGACTAAATATCTGTTTGCTAAACAAGTATGGCCACACAAAGAATTATAAGCAGACTGTTCTCAGTGTAACTAGGGTTTGGGCCAATGGAAGTTCAGGGGTTTATTTTTTTAAGTTGTTATTATTATACTGTACGAATAATTTGGACTACTGCCATTTACCTGTGTCACTTTTAGATGAATTAGCAGTTTCGAAAACTTACCCCAATTTTGGAGTCAAATTAAAGGTGGATTTGAGACATAGCTGGAACAAAGTTCTTTAGATGTGTCTGTTTCTAAAACATTTTAAAATGCATGCCTCCTTCAAACATCAAGGGACTGTGGATATCCTCTGCTTTCCAGATTCAAGGGGTAGAATTAAGAGGGAAATAAAAAAACAAACAAACAAAACCTAAAAAAACCCCTAAGAAATCAGCACTCACACCTGTGGGTATAGAATATTTCCAGATATTTTTGTATTCCATTGACAAAATTTGAAGGCAACCTGAGTTCAGGGAGGGTCTAGAAACCTCTCTGTATTTTGATGGAAGGAAGGATGGCCTTAGTTTCTCCCTATACACTCATGCTTCCTTTAAAACCAGGCTGAAAGAAATCCTCTGAGTGGTGGCAGGGACAGGCCAGTCTCCTGGGGCCCTGCAGCGCTTCTGCCTGCGGTGGCGTCGATGCCCCTCTGTGGCTGGCGCTACTGGGGTGCGAGGGGACCGTGGGTAAGCGAAGAGCCCAATAGAAGGCATGTGGTGACTCTGCACCCTCCTGTACCCTGCGCCACAGGGCCGTGTGGCAGTAGGGAGTGATGAGACTGGAGGGGTGGGCTGTACATCTGGCACATGAGCAGGGGCGGCCGGTACAAGATCCGTCTGTATAGCTAGTGAGTAGTGTGCAGCTCTCAAAGCAGCCAACCCTCATTCTGTAAATGCTTCAGGGCCTCTGCTTATCTCTAGTTTTCATCTCTGAACTCAGGGGTAGGTCTGCTTTAGCTTTGCAGTTCGGCTTGGGAGTGTGCACTTGTAAAGTGGATTTCCTGATCTTCTCTTGCTGTCTAAGCTTTCCTAGACGGCACAGGGTTTCTTCTGGCTGAAATGAAAGTAGAAGCTGTGCTTCAGAAATGTGCCTGTCGCATGCTGGCTGCTAACAGGCCTTGGGTCTGCAGCACCAGGTTAGATCTAGCCTTAAGTAAAGCACCTTTAGATGTGCCTAGTGGGGCTGTTGAGTCCTCGGCACCCACACAGCAAATCTGCCTGGTCTGGGCTACGCTGCTTGCTAACACATGCTTAGTTGCAGCAGCATGAAAAAGGGCAACAGAGGGTCTGGAGCAGGAGCTGAGAACCTGTGTATTAATTGCACAAACATCAATTTCTGACGCAATTTAGAATGTGATTTCTGTGTCTGATTTATATGGGGTAGATATTCAACCTCTTCTACTGTTGGAAATACCATAGGGAATATGTCTACTAAATGATGTCCCCAGCAACAGAAATAAATACTCATTTGCCTTCTGCAGAATTCAAATATGTGCCATGGAGCTTCCTTGAAGAAATAATGGAGGATATGGGCAGTGCAGTAATGATTAGACAAGTTTGGTCCTTGTTCAGTTTTTTTAGACAGAAGCATCGAGGTTTTGAGTAACTCATTGTGCTAAAGAATTAAGTTACAAAATACATCCGTGCAACATGAACTTGTGCTGTGGTGGCTGTCCTGAACCATTGGAAGTTCTGTGATTGCAGGGGGGAATTTATTTTATTGAACTGTAATCTCCTTGGCACTTTCAGAGCACAACGTAAGTGGTCGCAAGTAAATAATTACATTTGCTGTCAGTGTTAGAACTATTTTGGAAGCCATATCTAATATTTTTATAGTAAGACCTTTACTTTCAGGAAGTTCTTATGTGCATGGACATTGTTTGAAGCAAGAAGAGATACTGAAGTAGGGCTTGGTATAGCTTACTTTCACCTATAGTCTGTGCTTCAGCATTCGGTGTTCCTTCTCCTCTGTTGCTGGCTAGCTTTTTCTTCACTCTACAGGTAGATTCCACTCCTAAATGCTCTGCTTTCAATTGCTCCCCCTATGCCCAAGAAAAGGTGGAAGAGGGAGGAGTGGAGAATTGGAAGAATGACAAGAATGAGTTGTAGAATAACGTGCAGGTTATACAGTAACTTTTTAGTTGTGAATTAAATTTCTTGTGGAGATGAAAAGCCACCAAAAATAATAGGCACTGGAAGTTAAAAATGCATAAGAAAATGTCTTCTGGAATAGATACAAGACAATGCTGTGAGAAGAAGAATAGTAAATTCTTATGATGAAAGCTAAGGAGTTTACTGTCCCTTTCGTTGCTAAAAGGGAAAGAATGAGCTTCTACTGTTATGCTTTGTCATGTGCTGATGGGGATAACCAACACCCGCTGTGGTCATGAGATGTCCAGTTACATGCAAAGTGAGTTGCTGTGTCCTCGATTATGGTTTGGGGTTGTCTGGTGTTTTTGTGAGGAGAAAGAAATGCCATAGATAGGCAGAAGGGAAGCCTGTCCAAGAACATTCCTCGCCGTGAAAATTTACACAAAAAGCCACTACCTTGAATTCCATAGTAAATAGACTTTCCAGTTGGGTGCTTCTACCTAAGTATTAGATAGTTCAGAAAGCCTTTATTGTTGATTATCTGCTGTCCCTCTTGTCCCAGTAAAGCAAAGATGTTAAACTGTTCCTTGCCGATTGTGAGTTTTCCTGTAGGTATCCGTAAGGATATGTCGGCCTTTCCTTCCTCTTGCTCTGCATTGCTAGTGGGTTTGTATTTAACACCTTCCCTGTAAAAGTAGCGCTTTGAGCTTCAAAAAAACCACATGAAGTTGAGATGGATTTTAAATTGCATGTATTGTCTTACTTCGTTTAGGTACTCGTAGTGAAGCTTTCAAGACTTCTCTCCAGTTTTAGCTATTTTCATTTAAATAGCTGTGTTTCTTCATACTGAATGTTATTGCCTATCTTACTATTTTCCCTTCTAGTTGATAGTCTGCTAAAAAAGGTCTTTACTATTTACAGCTGTGGTGCATTGTACAATTAACCATTTACCATGTGAAAATAACAGTGCAGTCAGTCAGCATCTCTTAGGCAGTTTGCGGTTCATAAAAGCTCAGTGATTTTAATTCGTCACATTCTTAATTCTAATTTCATTTGGGCCTGTTTTTTGGAGCACAAGTGTCTGGTCCTCAGGCTTCAGTACACATCTGTGAAGTATTGGTTATGCTTTCCAGAGCTGACTCTGTTGATCCTTAAGGAGACTTACAGGTAATATCCCAATAGCTTTATGAAGCTACCACCAGATTGTCACCGTGATTTTCAGGCTAGATAATGCTGTGTCATATATTGCATTGGGGGTGGGCGCAAGGGCAAGGGTAAAAAGGGCAGGATGAAAACAGCCCTTTTGTGGAACAAGAGGGTTCCTGAATGGGTTTGTATGGGGTTCTTAAGGAATTCAGCTTGTGGTAGAAGCAACTACTTTTCAGAGGGATACAAACAGTAGCTAAACCTGCTTAGAAAACAACGTAGTGCTGGTTACCATGAGCTTTCCTCAGGGTGCGAGGGAGCAACATCACACGACTTGATCAGGACCTTAGAATAAAGAAAGGTAGTTTTGTGTTTGGAGAAATCAAGATTGATGGACTTACCTGGGCATGTATATATTTCTTGTAGGGATAAACCCCATGTGACTGTCTGAATTACAAAAAAAAAAAAAAAGTAGTATAAGGAAATCAAGCTTTGTTTCCTACTCTTTCAAGGTACTGTGACTCTCAGTCAGATCTTCAGCTGATACCCTGACTGAAAGATTGAAATTGCTTAATGGACCTTTAACTGAGGTTATTTGCCCCATTCCCTATGTAACCTGGTATTGAGGGCCCCATAGGTTTTTAGAAGTCATCCAAAGAGAGTACATCCAAGGGTCAACCTCTTCCCCGTTCGTTAAATTTACCTCTGCTGGGGATGATCCCAAAGACAAGTAGATCCTCACATTCTCATGATATGGTCAACCGCTGACCTTGCAAGTTTAAGCAGTGTTCTGCGTATTATGGTTGTGGGTTGTGGTGGTGGTTGTTGTGGTGGGTTGTAGATTTTTTAACAAAAAAAAAAAGCAAGGTGGATGTCTTGAGGAAGAAGGTTATGTGCTGTTTACAGGCCTTTTCTGCCTGAAAAGCTTTTCTATTTTTTTGTCTCAGTGCAATTGAAGCACAGGCAATACATGAACTTTTGAAAAATTACCAGTCTGAAGTGCTGATTCGATCCTTCTGCTACCTCATTTATGAAATAGTGATGATGATGGCAGCAACTC